GCGTGTACGCTGCCAGGTCATGTGAGGATGAACTTTCTTGGGGGGGTAGAAGAGTACAGGATGATAATATACTGTCAATGCATCTGGAGTCCCACAGAGGGTTGCTTTCAGCTCCCCTATATGATTTCAATGGCAAAGCACTTTGAGAACATGCTCCCCAGGAGAAGAAGTCAGATGAAATGTTATGGGTGGTGATTGGAGGTGAATGGATGTTTTCTTTTTTTTTTCCTTGTTAGCCTTTTCTTTGGTATACTTTGTAGGGCTGGTTTCCCAATGGTCACACATATACCCTTGTCAAACGAGATTCAAATTAAAAAGCTTGCGACAAGAGGACATTCCGATAAGAAAAATAAAAAAACATTCCTGTTAAAATGCAAGTTAGTGGGGAGTCCGACCGTTTTATAGAAATTTCGACAAATTTAAAACTGAAATTTGAATATGAATCTGAACACGCTTACACACAGATCCATGTTTTTATTTTACTGTCAAGAAATGAAATATTTGTTTTTACTTGAATTTTCTTTTCTTCATATTTATCTGCATCACAGCCACAGTTAGTCACACAGGGCAGCGATGAGCTACAAGAGACGGTGGTGGTAACATCCTATTTGCACATGTTCTTTTTAATGAGGCCTGCATTTTAAAGACAGAGCAGAGGCTTTGTTCCGAACCACCTGAACTGATGCGTGTCGCCGTGGTCGGTCAGTGTTTCATGGTGCTGGCTCGTGTATTTAAGGCCGATTGTCTGTCAGTGAACACATCTGTCCCCTGTTAGCTTTGCTGCTTTAAATCATTTACAAGGGGGTTCATCAGCAAAACAGACATCAGCACAAATCAAGAGACGGATGATTTTTATTTTTGGTTTAACTGGGGCACAGCAAGGTGTCTTTGACTTAATGCTTGAGTTTTTAATGACAGTATGTGACTTTGCTGAGTGTTTGTTTGTCAGATTGAAGAGAAATGTGGGGATCTAATGTTGTTGTAGTGATGTTTTTTTCAGTAAAACTGGGCAATTGAATGACATATTTGCCGAAACATCCCCATTTGAATATTTGTAAGCTCTCTCCCAAACTTAACGGTTGTGATTTTTTTCTTTCCTGCAATTTATTGTTGCATGTGTTATATAATGAGATCACCATTCAATTTGTGTTTGATATATTTTATGGGGTGACCAGACCCGCAAAAGGGTTTTTCTAAGATTTAGAGATACTGTATTCCAAAGTGAAGAGAGGACAGAGGAGGAGGAGGAGGTGTGAAGACATCAAGAAAAAAGTGTCAATATTTTTTATTGAGTTATTGTTGTCTTTTTGCGCTGCTAAAAGCTATGAATTTGTTTCATTTATACAAAAAAAATAACATTACCTAGTTGTGATGTGTCACTTGAGTGTGCTGCTATTTTATAAACATTTGTATTATAATATAATTATTTTACTGCTAAAGAGATACATTCAGAAAAACGAAGTAGATGGTGATAGAAGAACATGAAATGAGTATTCGACTGGAAATGTTCTTTGTACAGTTTGCTTAGATAGCATGTCTCCTTTCCCCCTTTTTTTTTAATCTATTGCTCTCCTTATTCAGTCACATCGTGCGTCAGTGGTATTTCTTATACCTCAGGATTACTGGACAAAAGAAATCACAAACAAATCCATCACCTATACCTCTGCAGTTAGCCGGGAACGGAGGAAAAAGAATAAAGTGGGGGTGGGGAGAGCGAAGCAATGACAAATTAGAATCTTTGTGGAGGGTTCCCACTGTTTTAGTGGGGAAACATCTCCGCTCAGTGAGATGGGAAACAGGAAATATGCAAAGTTTCCACTTGGACTCTATATTGGAGGGGGCGGGCACAACAACATTGCTTGGGAAGTGTTTATTCCGTAGATAGTTCAATAATGTTCGTATCTGTTCATGTTGGTGCTACATCTGCCTTGTTGTGTGCGAGAGAGGGAAAAAGCATTCCTATGATGGCCAAAGTACACTTCTTGCTTTATACAACCACATGACTCTGAATGTCAGTTAATATGGATTCTGTATTTGAGAAAACATGTTTTGGGCCGAAATATTGTGTGTGTGCATCATTGTTACTTTCAAATTATAATGGGTTGAGCTACACTTGTCATGTGCAAGCATAAATATTCTGGTATGTGGAAGTGTCAATGGTGCAGATTTCGCTTTGAGACCCTCCCCCTCCACTATAACTCATATCATGTACCTCAAATGTCTGTTGCACAACCTCTGTTCAATAAACTTCTGCTTTAAAGGGTGTGACACCACATCAGCTCACTATTTCCCATGCCTGCTTCCTTTTAAGCTGTGTGTCTTAATGGTTTTAATCAACAGACTACATTGTTTGTGAGTCAGCAATGATACTGTAAAACAAAGTCCAGCTGTAGCACGTTTCACTTTAAAGTTACACACGCAGTGATGACGAATGTGGGACATTATCTTGAATATGAGGAAGACTAGTTATAAACACTCCCTGTTGAAGTAGAGGAAATAGGGATAAGAAAAAACCTCTACCACATTCTGTCAAGTCCCTGATAATGTGAATAACTTATTTACAACTTCATTCATTGATATGGTTACACATATAATACTGTATTTTTTCTTGAGGTAGAAAGATGGATAGAACTTGGATGGACGCTTGTTCCAAAGGTAGCTCTGGCTGACAACTACAAAAATGACTGGAAAACAAATGGAGGAGGATTATATTTCAACATATGCCCTCTAGTGGCAACATTCATTAAAACATGGCCATTTGATATAGACATCACAATGGGAAATGTCATTGCTGGAAAGGAAAGAAAACATATTTCTGTTTTTAATAGTATTTATTTTTACACAAAAACGTAAATAAATCATAGAAAATATGTCAATAAGTCAATATATAGTATGTTGAAGTAACATTAAAGAAGTCATAGTTATGCAGAAAACTATTGCGTAAAAAAAGTCATATTGTTGCAGAAAAAAGTATTAGTGTAGTATGTCAACAAAAATAAAAAAGTTAATAGTACAATAATATCTCCAGAAAGTATCATAAGTCAAAAATATTATGAAAAATCTATGGTCCTGTATGTAGATGTGAGGAAGCGTACACACTCCCTCACTAACATGTTGGTCTTAACTATTTGTTTGTTAAGAAAGGTAGTACGTGTTTTTTCAGAGTTGTCTTTATTTCAGTTAAAGTTATAAAAACAGTTTACATAGACAAACTAATAAAATGCATCTAAATTAATTTGTCAGTCTGTAAAATACACAAGCACCAAGTAATCACCATTTCCTTTGTTCAGACCTGGAGGCCATCTTGTCCCAGTGCTCAAAGGGGGAGCACGCCTCCAAAGTACTCCTTATATGTGGCGTATGAGTAGGCGGAGTCTTGGACGCGATTGGTCAGGAAATGTGTGATTTTATGAGTGTCAATTAGGTTAAAAACTATCCGTTTTAAGCAGACCTTGTTGTTTTTGAAGGTATAATATGGATGTTGATGCAATAATGAATTTACTTAAGCCTTTAGGGTTTTATTAAATGTAGACAACAGTGTTTAATTTTGTATTTAACCCTTCACTCTGCTTTCAGAACCATGACCTGATTGGCCAGGTTGGAGTGGGAAGTCGGGCAGTCTCCTATAAATGTGGTTGGGAAGAGAGGGGAAGGGGGCTTTTTGTGTTTGTTCCTTGCTGGTGAATGCAGCACCAGACATGCAGTTTGTGTTTCTGGGGAATAATGATGAAGGCTAAGAATGAAACGCCTGTTTATTTTTTGCAAGAAAACCCTCTCTCCACGTATCGTTCTTTAACCTGCACCTCACATCGTAACAGTAGACTATAAAAACGTTTAGTGTTTAAAAAGATAATATGAAGAAAGTCATAGTAAGGTTTGTTGACAGATGTGAACAAATGTGAAAAAAGTATCATGAAAAAGTCATTGCATAGTATGGTGGAAAAATATGAATAAAAGTAATTTGAAATCATTATACAATATTCAGAAAATATGCCATACTATAATATATATAACAAAATGAAAGAAAGTCATAGTTTAGTATGTTGAAAAACTGTCATGATAAAGTGTCAGCCATATCATGAATAAGTCACAGTCATCATCATCATCATCATCATCATCATCATCATAATAAAGTATGTTAAAAATATTATAAAATGTCATAGTATAGTATGACAACAATAATAATAGGCCATAGTATCGTATGTCCTAAAATTAATAGAAATAGAGAAAGTAAATGAGGAAAAAGTCATAAAACACAATGCTGGAAATATGAAGAAAAAGGTAATGGTATTGCATGTTGAAAAGATATTTTAGTTTATTTTATGTCATTATATTACAAAAGTCATAGTATAGTTAGAAAAAAAATCATAGTATGTCAAAAAACATGGAAAATGTAAAGTATATAGTAAAGGATGGGTAAATATCATTAAAAGTCATATTGGTGCCAGAGAAAAGTATTAGTTTAGTATGCGGAAAAGGTTTCTTAAAGGATAAAAGTATTTAAGAAAAAGTCATAGTACAGTATGCCAAACATTTTGAAGCAAGTCAAAGTATGTCAAAAAACACTAAGTATATAAGTCGAATATATTGTGGAAATAAGTCTTAGTGTAGTATGTAGAACATATGGAAAAAAATCATAGTATTGGGTGTAAAAATATTTTAAAAAGTTATAAAACAGTATGTCGACATTATCATGAAGACTGTCTTAGTATAGTACATAAATAAAACAAGAAGAAAGTCATAGTATAGCATTGCAAAAATATCATGAAATATATGGAAAAAGTAATGTCGATAATGTCATGAAAAAAGTAACAGTATGGCACAGTACGTCGAAAATATAATTAAATAGTACACATCTTATAATAAAAAAATACATAAAGTTCAACAATATCATTAAAGAAATCCCAGTAATGTATATTGAAAAAAAAATTCTAGCTTAGTACGTCAAAAATATCATCAGAAAAGTAATTGTGTAGTACATCGATAAATGTGACAATAGTCATAGTACAGTAATATGTGGAAAAAATCATGTAAAAAAACTAGTACTTTATGTTAAACTAAAAGACTTAAAAGTCTTGAAAAGTTTTGGATATTTGAAAAGGTGTGTATATTGTTAAATTGTAAGATTATTGTACCCAAAGCAGGATAAGAAAAGTAAAACATAAATGACCCTGTTGGCTTCCCATAGCTCCCGAAAGGTTTCAAGTTCACGCTCTCTCCATTTGCGAGAAGTGTACTGTAGTCGTCTTCAGGACACCTTTGAAACCAAAAGTCAATGCGATATTCTTCCGTCGTTAACTTGCAGCAGAGCATGAAGGCGCTAACATTTGGACTAACTCTTGTTCGACAGTAAGTGCAGTTGACATTCGTACCTGTGTTTAGCACAGAGGCTCAGAGCAATGCTGCGGGTCTATCGCTCCTATTTATAGTTCTCTTCTGTCTGCTGTCTGGACTTATTATTTTTATTTTTATGTTAAGTAATGATACATTTATATGCGTTCTGCATGTGTCTGCAGCTAGACTGTGCTAAACATAGCAGGTGTCTCATAGCATACGTTGTTATGTTAAGTTGTTATGTTTTGAATACAGACACGCCATTAATTGTAATAAGAGAGTGTAGCAGCAGCATACACAGGGGAGTTATTGAAGTTCAGTTCAAACCGAGCAGCTAGAGTAGGCTGTCTCTCTGCCTGCAGTACCTCGTATTGACCACGAGAGGGCAGAGTGTTACCATTTTCTGGTAAAATTACAATCAAAACTTGATTGTTCAGAAATGTGTTTTTAACCTCTGATAATACGTCGAATATTACAATTAGTAGCTGTATGAATGGCTTATTGCTTTGCTTTGGAGTAGCAATGTATGTGGCATGGTATATTATTAAAACATGATTTTCTTTATTTTTCCCTCGATCTATGTGTTTTCATTGTTATAACACAATAGATATACATCTTTAATTGCTGCTGGAAATTGTGAAAGGATTTAGATTTGTTATGATTTTTTTATGGACTTTTTTTATGGACTAAAGGACTAATAAATAAAATCACATATATTTCATAAATGATTGATGTCTAGGAGAGACTGCCACAGACAGGAGCATATCTAACATAATAGGTTTAAGGGCCTGAAGGAGCAGAACACTAATAAAGGCGAGACATAAAAGGCATAAACAGATTTATGACACTCTTTCCCGAGCTTCTTTAACAATTCTCCTATATTTTAGCTTGTGCACTCTGACATGATGAATCATTTATTTCCTGCAGTGGAGAGACACAGTACAACAAAGAAGGCTTGCTACAAGGTACGAGTGAAGATGCCTGCACTATCTTGTTTTTCTCCGTGTCTTTATTTAATCTTTCCGTTTTATCCCGTGCAGGTCAGCTCATCGACGCCCCCCTGTCAGAGAGCGGACTGCAGCAGGCCGAGGCCGCAGGCTGCTACCTGAAACACGTCCTGTTCAGCAACGTGTTCGTCAGTGACATGTTGCGGGCCCGCCAGGTACATGCTTTCCTTTTTCCAGCAAGCAATGATGGTAGAGTTAAATGAATCAAACAATGTAGAATATATTCAATTTACTGTAGGATTAGATGCAAAAAGTGCTCTACACTCTATTTTACAGTATTAGACCACATTTTTCTCTTTTTTATAATAATGATGATGGTGGTGTGTGTTGTTTCTTCCAGACTGCTGAAACAATTATGAAACACAACACCAGTTGTCTTGGTCTGCAGGCTGTGTGGGACCCTTTACTTAAAGAGAAAGTGAGTGGCAATTATTTGTTGAAGATATGTATAATTTTTATGAAGAAACTTTAGTCATCCAGTCAATAACTTATTTACAGAGCTTTGGGACAGCGGAGGGGGGGCGGGTGCAGGACCTGAGAGAGATGGCCAAGGCAGCCGGGCAGACCTTCCTAGACTTCACCCCTCCAGAAGGGGAGACTCAGGAGCAGGTGAGGCTGCTTTCTGTTATTTTATTATTCATACAGATGTTATGTATGACTCGCTCTGACTTTCTTAACTACTTATATAATGTGTCTCTCTCTCTTTCACTACTTTAATGTTCACTGTTGTGGCTCAAACGACATAACAGGGTACCAAAAACTCTGTGCTTGAAATTATTTTCTTAGATACATCCTGACATAAACCTTTAATACCCTTATGTTGTTAAACAACAAGAAATCAAAACATAGTAGCATTCATCATTCAGATTGTCCATCAGTCCAATGCGTGACCAACACTTCAATCAGAAAAAAACGAATCGAATCTGAAAAATGTTATAGTTTTACATGTCTCATTTACAACAAGATCTTGTAGAAAAATATGAAATCCTGCATTCCTCAGTGCCACTGTTGAGCCATGAATCCCGTGAATCCCGGCTGTGAGTCATCTGACAAAACTTCAGTGAAACTTTGACTGAACTGCAGGCTGTTACACAGAGCAAAGGAGAGGTTGAAATAATGTGTTCAATATGCACATGAAGCCGGCTTTTCCCCCAATGTTTATAACACTTTAGTATTTTTTTAATGTAATGGCATTACATCTGTGCTATACTACAAAAAAAGACATGTCTCAGTTATCTAATACAAAACAAAAAATCTTTAAGGACACTGTAATAAAATAGAGTTAAATAGCAATAAAATAGAGGAGTAATTTACATGGAAATATAATGTAATGAATTATAGAATATAAACTATGAAATATGAAATAAGACAAGAGAATGCAATTTCTGAAGAAATTGATAGTGGGAATGCTTTATGCTGAAAAGCTGCATTTGATGACATCCCATAATACGCTTAGATGCGTTGATGGCTGTGTGTTGGAGCATAAGTCTTAGAGAAAATCGACGGTGACGACCCACTTTGATTCATTCAAACATTCGAAAATGCTTTCTGCTGCTGCGGACAAGAAAGCCAAACAACTCACGTTCAACGAGGGATCAACCTCCAAAACCCTTTCGAGGGCTACAAGAAACGAAGTAAGTAGCCTACAAGATTGAAGCTGGTCAGATAACGAACGAGTAAATGAAAACAGAATAAGGCGGAGATGTGTGTGTGTGTGTGTGTGTGTGTGTGTGTGTGTGTGTGTGTGTGTGTGTGTGTGTGTGTGTGTGTGTGTGTGTGTGAGAGAGAGAGTGTGATTAAAATAGCCCAATTGCTTTTACAATAAATAAACATTGAATGTGTTTAATTGAATAGGAAAGGGGTTTAACGTTAGTGGCAGGCTTTGTGTGAGAGAGAATAAATAAGACAGCCCAATATATTTTTTAAAATCAATTATTTTACGCATATTTCGCAACTTCCCGCAATTTCACCGCATAAAATCACATAAAAACCCGGCATGTTTAATCGCATAATCAAGGATTTTTGCCCGCGTTTTTCTGGAGGGTCTAGCTAGTGAACTCTGCAGCGGTTCATCGCTGGTGTGAACGCAGTCCGCACCAAAACATAGGAAGCGTGGTATTTACGTGTCACAAGAACGCAGGTGTCTTCAAAATCGTTGGCGAAAGAGTGAAGCAGAATGAAGTGTTGAACAGTGTCGTGTAAAGTAAAAACAACTATCAAACTAAAAACTATACATACAAGTCAGAGCCACCTGCCGTCGGTGAAACCCCCTCCTTACTGCAGAACGTCTCTCATTATATGTGTTATATGCGCCGTTGCTGATTATGTGCTCTCCAGATTAAGAACAGCATGAAAATAACCTGCCGATGCTCCATGGCGGAGGCTCCGATAGAAATTGCCCGGATTTGCGTTTTTACCCCCTTAATGTCTGACCAATTGTTGAACAGCATTTCCGAGCACATGACATAGTCCGTTTGAATTTTGCCTGTGTGAACGCAAACCGAACCTTCTGAAAAATTAAACAATGTAACAAACTGTCGTCTGGTGCGCACCAGAGAAGCGGACTATTAGGTGTGAATGCGACCTTTAGGTCCCTTTAAACTGCTTATACGAATCCAATCTGATTCAATGTACACACACTACCACCAGGTGGCAGCAAACACTCATCTCCTTAGTTAAACCCATACAGTCTATGGTTAAACCAAACCTCTGCATGGAGGTATCATGCCCTCTCAGAGCCCCTTTGCATCCACATGAGTGTATATATGTTGCCACTTAGTATCAAAGTACATGCTCTTCCTCCGTCAAACAACTGCAGAGTGTTCGTCACAGCGCCTGATTAAAAAGTCACGACGTGTGGGCGTGAGGGGGCGTAAGGAGTGATGGATGTTCTATTTAAAAACATTCTCGTCAGGCTTCATCTTTTAGATCTTTAACTCTGGCCCAGCCCAGTAGGTGAGCAGCACATCATGATGATAATGCAGATAAACAAAGATAGATCTGACGTAAGCAGTTAGCGCCCAATCACTGTCTCCTTCAGGCCTCCTCCCAGCTTTACTAAACACGTTACGGGTTGTTGCATCAGGATGAAACTGAAGTGGATGTGTAATTTTGGACTGGAAAGGTTGTAATTTATTATAAAATCTTTCATCTTTAACTGTTATGATGGGCTGAAATACTGTGAAACTTTATCTAAACTAAAACAATTATTTAGAAACCAAATCCTGAATGGTTATGAGCAGGACCTGAGAAGTGATGCTTGCTATTTCTTGTCGATGTAAAAGCTATTTGTTTTTGGTTGTTTTGTACAAAGAAATGCTTTGTTTAAAACAATAAATCAAATATCACGGTTGCTGATGACGATGACCTACACTTTTATTTTCATGAACAATATACGCTAAATGATTGCCCCTTTTGAACATGACGGAAACTATTTGAGAATTAATTCTTTTTACACCTTGAAAGTTTTTATTTAATTTTGCTTCTCTTTGTTATAATTATTGTTTGTTTGTTTTTCTAACATAAATTGAAAATGTATTTAGTGTAACGCATAGACAGATTTCCCTTGTGTGCTGTTTGTGTAGAAGGAAATGCAACAGAAGCATGCTGTAACAGATGTTTGCTCTGTCCAGGTGAAGGAGCGGGTCAAAGAGTTTGTGGAGAAAATGCTCCAGAAAATTGGGGCCGAACACTGGCAGGACAGAGGGGTGGAGGAAACGAGCCCACCTGTTCCAGCAGAAACAAGTCCTGTGGAGGGGACGGCAGACGACGGGGTGAGGGGGGTCCCGGTCCACGCTCTGGTGGTCACACACGGGGCCCTCATGTGTGTGGCCCTGCGCTTCTTTGTGGACGAGCTACATTGCTCCGTGCCTCCGGGTTCTAGCAAAGAACATGTGTTCTCATTGAGTCCGAACACAGGTCTGTGTCGGTTCATAATCACCGTGAGAAAGGAGGAACACACGTTCAAACTGTCAGGGATCCACTGTGTGTTCGTCCACCGAGGGGACCATGTGCAGCAGTAGGAGCTGGAGGTGTTACAGAAAGGAATATGAGGGTAAGAGGAAAGTGAGACACACAATGTGGAGAAACACAAACCTCAGAATTGATTCGTAGTTGTTCAATACAAGCATGTTTTGACAAGTTAAATATCAAAGAAAAAGATGTAGGTCAAGTATTTAGGTGCAGTTTATTTTGAAGGATGTCTTAATCGATAATTTTTTCCTCCATTCAAGTTATTCGACTTCTGTTTTTGTTGTTAATCACAACATCAGATATTAAAGAGTCATACCAATACCAGTGAAATTCCATGAAACGCAATACCAAATTCAATACAAGGATGAAGGAAATCAAAACAATAAATCCCATGTTCTGTACTTCAACGTTTTGCATATTTATTTAGTTAGGAAGTTGAAAAGATATCCATTTTAAGTTGCTGAAAAAATGAATCCTTTTAACAAATGTATTTGTTTCTCATAGCAAAAATATAACTGAAAAGAACATGAACTCTTCATAATGTAATTCATGGAACCTTACTTGTTTAACCTGCTGCTAACGTCAACTTGTTTAAAATGTAGCATTATCAATATAAAAATGGACGCCGGTGGAAGATCTCTGTATCTTGGGACACATAGTATGAAACCCAGCCTGGAGTGGGGGAGTTTAATAGTTTGAAATCTTTAAAGCCAATACTAATCAGACAAATAACGCCTTGATCAGCTTCAATACGATTCTTTGAGATCGAATCGGGACAATCCCTATTCTTAAAATCTCAAAAAATCTAAATATAATTTAGAATGCTCGAATAATTATTCAGAAATCTAGTTTAAAACAAGATATGGATTAAATATTAAATGAACAAATGTTGCCAGATATATACAGCAGCATACAACAAAATGCATTTAATCCTGAGTCATGCTTTGAGCACTATGTTCCTGTCTGGCTGTTCATTACTGTAAAAATAGGCAGCTTCTGCGCTAATGAGTCCATGTTGCTATATTTACTCTCCGGAAGCTCACAGAACCTACGTAGGAGCACGGAGCAGAACTGCTGCCATGTTGACTTTTTGGAAATGAGTGACTCTGTCGGGAACTAACACTTTGGTCAGCAAGGGGCAAATGTATAAGACTGCATACATGCCATATTTGTTTTACTGTAGCATGTATGTTCACTCTACTGGTCATCCCTCTCTGAAATCATTTATCGACTACTGAACTGGATTGTATGCAAAACAATGTACGTATGCAATGGCTCTTACTGCCGTGATTACATCATTGAAAATACTTTATTATATCAAATAATGCTCTTAGACTAACATTTGTCATTACATTTGTATAATTAATAAATGTGGCTTTTACATGTGTCTGTTTGAAAGTTCAGCCTCAGTGGATACTTACCAACATTTAGATATTTTTCCAATAAAACTCCTCATCATATACACTGTTCCTCATTGGTTCAACTTCACATCATTTAAATCTTTGGTTTTACACTATTTGTCCTGGTCTAATATTTGCCACTTACATAACCAATTTGCTGTGTGCTTGATCACCATGTGATTGTTGTGGCCTTTCCTTATGGACTGCAGCAAGCTATTTGTTGTTCTGTTCTGTTTCTGCAAACATCATTTAAAGTGTTCCAGTGAACCTTTGATACTGCTTTTATTGGTATTCTGCTAGAATGAACTTCAATAAAAATGTAAATATTACAGGAAAGCAAAGGCTGCCCGAGTTTGTTTCTTTAAAGGTCTCCTATCATACAAAATATACTTTTTGATGTCTGTTAAACATAAATATTTTCCCCTGGTGTGTCAGGGAACTCGCAAAGTGTCAGAAAACAAAACGCTCTCTCTTTTCCTCCGTACCCAAATCTCTAAAAACGGGGGTACAACGGAGCTGATCCAAATTTCCGATATGACATATCGGAAATGTGGACCCACGGCCCTATCAGAAACGTTGCTATTGGAAACAATGCGCAACGTGTTTTGGAAGTAATATGGTCTTTGTTTACATTAACAAGCATCGCTAACATGTGTAAAAAAGCAGGAAATGAAAAAAGGAACTCAGCTTGTGGTAAACCCAACCCACACTCTTTTTGGGTAAACCGGTAAGAGAAAAAGCATTTGAGCTCCATACTGTTTCAGAAATAATTGTCGATGTGGTTTGGAACATGATATGGCTTTTAATCACGGCAGCATTTAGCTGTATCTGCAGGAGCTCACAGTGTGCCTGCGTGCTGCAAAGTGGGCGGGGCCAGCAGCTACTGACCCAGAATCAGCACTTCAGTAACAGGGCTGAAATAGAGGGGTATGAGGCATGGCTAGAATGGGTGATCTGTTTGGTATTTTGAGCAAAACACTTCATAGACATGTCTTTTATATATTTTTATATATCCGAGGCCTATAATATATGCCTGAAAATGGTATAATAGGAGACCTTTAATGTAACAATTAGTTAGAATATGTAATGTATATAAGTGCACCTGGAAGCAACAACTAAAGAAAGCACTTCCGACACAATCCACAGAAATGTTAATATTTATTCTTTCCACATCAGAACAAAACAATACAACTTGAAATATATAAATAATAAAACAGTAGGCTAAACATTTAGTCATTTTAATAAATAAATACCTTTCATCACTGTGACTATTGGTGTCCGGCACCTGACGTAATTGCATTGTATTCATGAGTGTGTGGCAGATTATTCACGTCTCCAATTTGACCTGCTCTATTTCTGTCTAAACTCCTGTTATGGAGCTTTACTGTATCAACACATGTACGTAAAAAAAATTCAGAATTACCTACAGATTACACATTTTTTACATATGCAAAACAAACATTGCCACATCTGACCCAAGGTTTAAACTTTAACTGAGGGAAGAGGTCAGCGGGACGTGGGACCAAACTCTGCATGGTCATGTTGAACATTGCTGTTCAAACAGCACATCTGTACAGCTGCTGTTATGTAACAGGAGCACATTACAAAGCCTTATAGTACCATTGAAACAAATCCTGACAATTCAGATTCAAGGATCTTATCTCTATTTTTCCGAAGTTGTGAAATATTGAAATCCCTTTTGTTTGTCTCTGACTGACCCTGCAGGATAAGAAGTATCTAACCCCCTGCAGTCAAGCACAACGTGAGTTTAGAACATAAAGACCTGCAGCCCCTCTTGACTTTTCACACACTGAACACAAGGTCAGTATCTTATTCTTGTTCTGCTCGATCTGCAATATTAGTCTTGACAGGACTCACGGGCCCGTTGGGCTGTAGGACCCTCAGGGGGTCGTCACAGGAAGTGATGGTCTCCTTGGAGACAGCGCCAGCCTGGTCCTGGTCCGGCTGCCCCTGATCCACATCCTGGTGATCCGTGGCAGAGAGTGAGGGCTGAGATCTTAGCGGATCAGAGGGGTTCACGTCCTCGCTCCGCCTGTGTCTCTTCACCAGGGGACCAAGGAGCTGCTCCACCAGGTCGGGGGAGGGTTCGGGGTGCTCCTGGTGAGTGCCTCTCAGCTCAGCTGCCTCCAGTCTGAGCAGCCGGCCCCCACTTGTGGAGTAGAATACGTCACGTTGGTTAGACAGATTTAACCAAATGCGCTGGAAGAGACAATCTTCTCTGTCCTTTTGCCTCTGTTTGGTAAAGAAAAAGCAGAAACAATGTTTTAATGTTAATGATGCACTCATTTCCTCTCAAAATAAGTGCATCATTAAAATATATACTCACAGAGTTGTACAGCTCCCCCTTTGAGTCCATACACAGGAACCGCTTTCTTCTCAAATCAAATATTGACACAAAGTTGCTTGTATCTGTCCGCACTGGCAAAATAACTGGAAAAATACAAAAATAAAACACATTTTAAAATACTCAGTTTTAGGGAAAATCTTATTTTGTACTAGGTATTTTGAATATTATTTTGTCATCAACATTTCTAGCTGCTATGAATCCTGTTAGCTTGTTTTGATGACATGGCAAAGTATGCATTGGACAATAAAATAAACTAAACTTCACAGAGGAATTATTGCATTTACTGTTAAAAAAGCACTTATTTTCTAAAATCTATAAAACAACCTGTAATGAAACAAGATAAGTATTTAATAGATGTATGCAGACTTACCCAGAAAGTTTCTGTGAATATGTTTTCTTACTGATCCACTCATCCCCAGGTAGAAGCGTCCGGCTGTATCATCCTGTGCTTCTCTGGGGAAGTTGCTCTGCTGACGCTGTATGAGCTGCTCGGGGCCCCGGGGCCTCGGTGAGCAGTCCACCGGTACAGACATACGTACGGCTATCAGGATGAGTGAGAAGAAAGCCAGGTGCATGATCAATGGGTTGGCGTGCTCTCTACTCTGAACTGCACAAATGTTCAGGTTGGTGTGTGGGCAGCTACTGGAGGAGGAGAAAGTCCAACAGGTCTATTTAAACAGAGGGTCGATGAACCGGCTAACTCATTTACGAAATGACTCAAAGCCGTCCTGTTTTTCCATGGTTAAGGGTTGCCTGGATGGAATTCCTGCAGGCTCTAAAAGACCATTTCATCTGTGAGCGTAGGTTTATTACTGTCAACGCCTCTGCCTTAGAAGCCTAATTAGCCCTTTGTTCAAATCTAAGAAATCAACCATAAAGACTTCAGAAGATGAGGAGACGGCAGAAGAAGAGGAAGGAGGATAGAGACTGTGATTTATTGACCTGTATCTGTGATCAAGACAGGTAGGTAAGAGTGACAAACTTGCTTTTAAAGCTCACCTATCATGCTATATTTGAACAATATATTATAGGGCCATATGTATCTATACAAAACTTGTCTCTGAAGTGTTTTGCTCAAAATACCAAACAGATCACCCATTGTAGCCATGCCTCATACCCCTCTATTTCAGCCCTGTTACTAAAGTGCTGATTCAGGGTCTGGCCCTTTAAATGTACCTGGCAAGCTGTGAGCTCTGTGAAGAGAAGAGAGATTTCTACTGGCACAAAATTAGCTAAATGCTGCCGTGATTAAACGCCATATTTTGTTCCAAACCACATCAAGGATTATTCCTGAAACAGTATGGAGCTCAAATGCTTTTTAGAGATTTGGGTACCGGAGGAAAAGAGAGAGGGTTTTATTTTCTGATACTTTGTGAGTCTCCTGACACACCAGCGACACATATGTGTATAAAAGACATCAAAAAGTGCATTTTGCATAATAGTTCTGTTGTGTCACACTCTTGCATCATGAAGAGTGACTCATAGCTTATTAATGATCTGTACACACTTCCCACGTCTCTCACTTCCGTTCCCCCAGAGGTGGAAGAAGTACTCAGATGATTCACTTATGTAGCAATACTACAGTGTAAAAAATACTCAGTTATATGTAAAAGTAGAAAAAGTACTCATTATGCCGAATGGCCAATTCAAGAACCATACATTTAAAATGATTGTTTTATAATTATTGAGGCATTCATGTGTTTATACCTTCGTTTTTTACATATACTAGCTTAACATGTAATAATACATGATATTTTACTAGTTGATTTATATTTTGTATGAATAAATTAAATCTGTAAAATATATGTAGTCGAGTAAAAAGTACAAAACTTTCCCAAAAATGTAGGGTATAGATACTCAAAAATTACTCAAGTAAAGTACAAGAAGTACATTTTTTCCTAAAGTGCGGTACTTGATTGTACTAAGTTACAATTCATCACTGCATTCACCGCAGCACATTTCTGAGATATTTTGTTGGTATTTTTACTGTAGTAGAAAATGTTTTTTGACATTCCAGAAAGGTGGATTTTTAGAGCTTAGAAAGAACCTTATGAGCAGGAAACATGTGATGGATGACTATATTTGAAGGCTACTGTAAACATGTAAATGCATCACCACCTGTATATGGTGAGCAGAGACATTCTACATCCTGGTCCCTGGAAGAGAATGACTCCTCATGGAGAGTGATATATTGCTTGCTGATGGAGAAAAAACACTAACTACAATACTGAGTATACCACTTTATTTCCAGGTATGTTATTTTTAATAATGTCTTGAAACTTTCCTGGAAAGAACTACGTCACTGAGAACTAATAATAGGTGTAATAAAGACGAAGGTCTGAGTTGTTTTTAGTTTGCTGTGCTGACTTGGAAAAGCACATGTTTATCTTCAGAGGAATTTCCTTGGAAGAGCTGCTTTATTTAAACCGGGTGAATATATATACATATTTATTTTGTATATGTTGTCTTTTATGGTTGCTTATAGAAAAAGTTTGACCTTTTAGCACATCCGGCTGACCTTAAGTGCCCTTACTAAAAGACGGTACATGAATCTAATTTAGTATTTAATTCATTTTAATGAAATAGCAGTGTACCAAATGAACACAATTTCTATTTTACCTAGAATTAGA